GCTGGCTTGACGCTGGCTGGACGCTGGCTTGACATTGGCTGTGCGCTGGCACTGTGGACGACGATGCGGGACTGAAGCAGCATGCTGGCGCCTTCTCTGCTGAGCGCCAGCCTCTGCTGATGTGGCGCATGCCACTTGTCTTCATTGCTGGCGTGGCGCATGCCACCTGTCTTCATCACTGATGTGGCATTGGCCACGCTGTCTACATTGGGTGACTGGACGCGACAAGGAGGAAGATCGGGATCTGTGGATGATTGAGGAGGATCGGGATACTTGTATGAGTTTGATGTCAATACTGTGCGCTGTTGATTGTCTCCAGCCTCTTCACGAGCGACCTGTGCCACATGGCACTTCAATGTGATCAGGATTTATCAGGCTCGTTACTGGATACTGTTTTGCTGACATGGAGGCGAGGGGAAGCCCGGAGAAGCAGTGGGGAATGTTGGGCTACTCTCTGTGTGCTCATTGATGATAAATATCTCTTCCACCTTCTAATCTGTCTATTCCCCCTCCACTCTCTTCGTCTACTGGAAACCAGACATTGTATCAGAGATCACATTCATGATTATTGGGGACATTGTTCAGAATTGAGTTACTTTGTATTCCGACATCTGGCGAGTATCTTACAGACTGGGTTCATTACAGTTTTTTTTATGGGTCCCTAACACGCAAACCGAGTAGAAGAGACAAGACTCGCGAGAGGCATCGTATTTGAGCCCCTCCAGCGGGTGACAGATGTTGAGGGGTCAGTAGAAAAATTCGGGAAGGGCAGGGTGTGGTGGCCAAACGTGCCCTCCCTTCTAAAAATTCAGAGTGCAAAAGAAAAAAAAACTCTGGGCCACGCCGAGCCCGAAAACTGTGTGCACGTGCTAATCGGATCCAATCTCTTTTCCAAAGTGCCCTCGCAGAAAACTTGCGAGGGAGTGAGCAGGCCAAGAACATATGCTCTAGATTCGAATTCAGATCTGTGTTTCAGCGGTTATGGGTTACCAACTCAGCTAGGCCAGATCTCTGCACGTCTTACGAATACATCCAGTGGCCCTAAGGACCTCGGTCCACAACTCACCACATGCACAAACGACAAAACATATGGCGGTGCATGGTTCCAGATTCTAGCAGAAGATTCATTCTAGTTTTGCACATTCAGTGAGTACTGGAGTGAAGCCCTGAGAATCATGTGCAGAGACCAACAGGGCCCAGCACAGTTAGAAACCCATAACTGCTGAAACATACACTTGAATTCGTATCCAGACTATATATACTTGGCCCGTTCCTGCTCTTGGAAATTTGGCGCTCATCCATGCTCAGTGATAGGACCTTGCAGGGGCGCTGACTTAGGGACCCCTCTGATTCCTTGCCGGGGCCCTCTGATTTCTGTGAAAGGGGGCCTTTGCCTGCTCTCTCTCTCTCTCGTGCACACCCACATCTATACAGACACACACCTTGCCTTGAAAAACAAACAAACAAACAAACAAATGTGCACATCATTAGCACAGCACTAATTCGCACAAGGCACATGGCACATGCGCACCACATGGCGCACCGCACCAGTGCACAGCAAGTATGCTATACATCAATCC